GCTAAGTTGTTTGGTTTTTTTAAAGGTCCTTTATTTATTATTATTAATTTTAATGAAAATGTACAGACACTTTGGATTTCCATTCATTCATTGTTGCACTTTTCTCCTTGCCAAACCCTTCCCCGGCCCCCCTCAGTTCACTCTTCTCTTTGAAAAGTAAAAGAAAAATTTTTTAATTGTTATACAATCCCTTTCATCTGGTAAATTAACAACATTTAATTATTAGCAATCATTGTAAAAATTATGATGAAAATTTCATTATATCAAAAAGCAATTCTGCCTCATGTATTTATACTACCTGGATATCTTTTCTGGAAGACAGAAGTGTCTCATGAGTAAAACCTAGAGTTAGAAATGAAAGATGAAGCCAAGCGAAGGATAGGAGTCATGGGGAGGGAGAGTTCTGTCCCTCACTTTGCCACTGATTCATGTGGGACAAATAACTGAAGGCTACTTCAACTTTGGGGCAAAGAAGACTTGGAGATGGTATCATACAGGCCCTTGAGACTTCTAGGGTGTTCTAGAAATCTATTTTTAAAATCCCCAAAAGCCAACTGAGACCTATGACCCTCTAGGAGAAAATGAGACAATGCTGCATCCTAACTGTTCTTCAGCCTAGTGGAAAAGGGTTGCACTGTCAACCCAAAGGCAGGCTTTTTAAATCCATCAGCTACGCCATGAGAAAAAGATGGTGATCTCCTTCCAATGCATTTTACAGTCTGAAAACCCACTGGAGGGTCAGCTAGGAATCAGTTCCAACTACACAGCAAAGAGAGAGAAGGAAAATTCAAGCTCTGTTGGTGCAGGGGTAAAGCACTAAGTTATAAACCTGAGTCTGTGGTTTTAACCTACTAGAACGCTACCAGAGAAAGATGTGCAGTCTGTTCCCACACAGAACACAGCCTTGCAATCCCTACGAGCTCTTCTATTCTGCCCGACAGGGCTTCTAAGACCTGGAGTTGTCGCTACGACAGTGGATTTGGTCTGGGTTTGAAATAGTTTCTAGATCGATGAAGACCTTTTCAAGCACTTCCAAGTTAACCCTGAAAAGAATCTGATTTAAATTCAATTCTGAGTCATTTATATAACAGCTAGTTCAAATCCAGTTTATGAGAGACAAGACATACAGGAGTTAAGACGTTTTAGACATTGATGGAATGCTAATGAGAAAGTGACAGAAATTAATGCAACAAAAAGTCATAACAGCAGCAATAGATATTAAATTTCCAGCTAGAATCATACTTTTAATTCAAAGTATGTGTTCCTGCTGGAAAAAAGGGTGGAGGTCTCTGATAGATCTTTGTTTCTCTGTATCTTCTATCATCCTGCATGTCAGAGGTTTATATGAAAAAAGCCTAAGGATGTGAAAACCATTGTTCTTTTGAGCTTTTTGATCACAAAAACAAAGTTTGTTCCATCACTTGTCATGCTATTTAAACCTTGTGGAATAAAGATAACCTCTGAACACAGTGCCCACTATTTTGACTTGCTGGCGACCTAGAGTTAAGAAGCCACACTGTAACCCCGAAAGCACGCAGTTTGAATCCACCTGCTGCTCCATGGGAGAATTCTATGTAGGTGATCTCTTCCTATGTAATTACTTCTGAAAACCTGCTGGGGGGTCAGTTATGGGTTAATTATGACTCAACAATATACAGCAACTATACCATAATCCATCACCAACACTGGGCTGGATGTGTGGGGTAAGGTAAGGCAAGAGATAGAGAAGGTCCAAAAGGCATTAGGGGTTCAATGGTCTCAGTCCTGCAATGACTCAATCCTCAGTTGATTGGCCAGCCTGTCTGCAGTAACCAAAAATCAGGGACCCACTAAATGTCCACCACCAATAACAAGAGAAGCTACTTTCAGGAATTTAAACTAGTGAGAAGATAAGAAATACACATAATATTGGGGGGAAACATATAACCCTACTCCTAGATCATGTTGTTTGTTATAGATTAAAGGAAATTTTCTGAAATATTTCTATTATACTTTTGGTTTTGCATGAGTGAAATCTGGACTTGGTAAATGGATAAGGCAAAGTATTAAATTAATGATTCTATTTGGCTACCATTTGATTCCATGATTATCATCTGGAGCTAAGTCAATATTGCTCTAGATCTCCAATAACTATAGAATTGGGGGGGAGATGTTAGAAAGATAATTAAAGGTTCTCTAAGGCCATACGTGGATTGATGCAATGACTGCCACAATGGGTTCTAAAGTGTCAGGAATTGTGAAGATGGTACAGGATAGGAAAAGGTTCAGATCTGCTGTTCAAAGGATCGCTATGAGTTGAACTCGACAGCACCTAATAGCAACAACAACTAACAACAGGCCATAGACAAGAGGACTGCATATAACTAAAAAACCCCAAAGTTGTTGTTTTAAAGGAAAAAATATATACTCACTCATTCATTGTCAATGAGTTGTAACCAATTCATAACTGACCCTCTGTTGTGTTCTAGTAGCTAAAATTGTTTAAGAAGAGTTTCCTCTCTTTCAAATAGCTGCTGTGGATTCAAATGTCTTTAGGCTGGTAATAGCATAACTCTCTATGAACTCACAGCTAGAGCTGGTCTGGAAGAGCACAAGGAATGTAAGATTGATTGGCAGACTGAAAATGTTAGAGAATAGCAAGAGGTTATAAAGGATTGTCTTCTGGTATGCAAGCAACCTCCTCCTGCCAACCAAAACATTGCAGATAATTTCAAAATCATGCCAGAACATTCTTCAGCTTTGTGTTTTTAAATGCCAGGCTTACAAAAAGTTGGAAAAAAACAGTATACAGAGTTCCTGTATGCTAT